AGTACTATTAAGAATTCCATACATAATTTATCATATTTTATATATGTACAAATTAAAATTAGTATTTTTAAATTGTGAATTTCCTTATAAAATAATATACGTTCGTGGCATTACTCAACATATTACTGTGTTCTAAAATAAGCAATATTTATAAAACTAAAAGGTAATATTCGTGCATCTGGTAATCTCGATTTCAAATATTTATAGTTTCGTCATCTCAAACGTGACATTATGCTCAATATGGTAAAAGAGTAATTGTCACATCGTGATTATACAATAAATTCACACATATATACGTATATTTTATTTTTCCAGCTAATATAAATCTATGTTACAATTTTAGTACAATATAATACAAGACTGTAGAATATCGTGTGTGATCTAATCATTTTACTTAGTTATTTGTTTTAATTAAATTAGCATTAGAAAATTTTATCTCGTTTAAACAATTTCTACGTGATTTATTTTCGTACGTAAAAGTACATAGGAAATTACTGTATCTTACATAATATGTAGTATAAATATTTACGTTAGAGATTTTACATTGGAGTCTCTTATGGCCTCACATCGAAGAATTATCATTGATGATATTTTCAGATGTAAACTTTTCATCGAGATAGTATCACTAAATAATTTAAATTGATTTTGTTACATTCAACCGCACATAATTCAATGAATTCATGAAACATTTACTCGAATGATTCGTTATATACATAAATCTTTTCCTGGCAAAATTCTTTAAGTTTAATTCAATGTTCCTTTCTCTCATCGCGGTATCGGTCTGCAAATCTTCTTGACATAGATTTCCAACAATAAGTAAAATCCATCGTTACGTAAAAACACAATGGCGACCGTTACCAAATACCATGCAAATTTACGAGTTTCTCTTACGAGCAATGAAATATCATGCTTATTGTTGAACATTTTAAGTCGATTTTATCAAGGATGTAAAGTAGTTAAGTTTTAGTGAATTCTAAAAGTTTCTTAGATGTTGTACAATCTTTTAAAAAGATTGATATTAGGATAAATCTCGTGCTAATAGAAATATTTCGTGATTTTAATTAATAAAATATAATTTTTTTTATTTAAAAAGATTAGAAGACTCAAATTTTCCTTCATAATTATTAAATTTCGTCCTATTAATTATGCTATTATTTTTCATTTGCGGTCTAATTATTGTTGATCCGTAACAAATCCATTTTGAAACAGATTTACAAATAATAAGAGGTATACTTCAAAGTTTGTGCTATTTTTTAACCATTATTTTTTCTCGATTCCTTTTATTTTATGGTACTTTATAAATTTAATATAAAGATTTACAGAAGATAAAATTTCTTTTTTACTAACTAAAGAATCTAAGAAACTAAGAAAACTAAGAAATCACTTTACGATGTTACTAATCAAGGTTTCTCTTATAAATAGTAAGGGTTAAGTAAAAGTGAAAGAGGAAAAAATTTTACAATTTTCTACGATCAATGTAAAATATAGAATATATCATAATTTTTTTTTATATTTTCCAGAAATCAGAATATTTTGAGCCAACTTTTTTATATTACGTTACAGGAAATTGTTAATTAAAATACCAACAAAATGCATTAAGAAAAATGTCAAGAATTCAACGACAAGAAATTAGAAAGAATTTCAATTATTATCTCATAAAGAGTAGATGTAGATCAGAATAATTATAAATCTATAAAACGCAACGATAGAAAGGTACATAGAAATCGAGAGCAAGCTGAAAGCTATGCACCGATTCATCGCTAGAAGGGAAAGGAAAAAAAAAAAAAAGAAAGATGAATAGATCAGGTGTTCGATTTCGATTGCGCTTTCACTGTTATATATATATATATGTACGAACGCGATAACATCGACACCGTCGAACCAGGTCAAGTGCATTCAATAACTATTATACCTTCTGTGCCACTCCGTATGCACCTCCGGAGTGTATTCAAAGGAACTTACAAATTACGTTGTTAGTAGTCCGCGACACGCGTCACTACTAACACTGGATGGCAGAGACCACGATGGTCCGATCTGCGTCATTGATCAATGATCCGAATGATGCGTCACTCAAAACAATTAGACGCAACAATTTATCGCAAACAATTGGATTTTTGATTAATTATTACATCGATATTCGAATACTCAAGATATTTTATTTATTTAAAGTAAAATTAAAAATTTGATTAATCTTTTCTTCAGAAGATTATTAGATCCAGATGATGTTTGTCATTTATTATAGATTTTACAGAATTAATGAAATTTAATAATTTCAATAATTTGACATAAGAATTAATGTGTCTGGATTAAATAAATATTGGAAATAAACGAATCGAATGTAAAAATTTTAACAACATGCACAATATATTATAAATATGAGACATATGTTAAGTACAAGTGAAAAAATATTCGCTTAAAACAATTCGTTGTAAAAAATATATAAGAAATAACAAATTTCATCGTAAATAAAAATTTGCTCATTAACGTATCTGTATTCATTATGATTAAATTTTTATTTTTGACATACTGAAGAGAATGTACCGTTCACTCGAATTTCTTTGTGCTCCATTTTATTAGATTTCCGGAAATATGATCATTCGAGGCCACTACTCTCCGACTTAAAAAATGGTGGACAGGAATTGAACAATTCAACCGTAAATTTTGCCCATTTCTTCTAACCAATTACAATATGATAGCTACACTATAAAAGGATAGAAAATGTTGCATATCCTTATCCATTAAACAGTAAGGGTTGCAATATATCCCTTTGATGTGTTCAAGTAGATCATCATAAAATCGATCGTTTAATGGCCGATCCTTTATTACCAGATTTATGGTATAGAAAAATATTTATCATTAGTCAAAATTTAGTTTATATTTATATTATTATATTAATTTAGTTTAATCTATCGTATCATAAATTTTGACCCAATCTCAGAAAAATATAAAAAATATGAAATAAATAATTCGATATATAGATATTAAAAGGTTATATCAAACTTTTTTCTCCATTTCCTATCAGATTTCCGGAAACACGATTACTCGAGGCCATGACTCGTTATTTTAAAAATGGTAAACAGGAATTGATTTTTAAAAATACATAAATTTACTTCTTAATTTTAAAAATTTATTCAAAGGAAAACGATACTCGATTACAATTTAATAATTAAATCGTTTTCTTTCTTAAGTATCAAAAGTGATCTCAAACTTCAGAATTATAAAACATCAACAATCGTTCCCCTTCGTTATATACACACAGATTTCTGGAAACACGATCGGTCGAGGCCACGATTACTCTCTTAAAAATGACGGAGAAGAATTGAAGATTTTAAAATTCACCGAATGTCGTGTCGGGGGCGATCTCGTTGAAAAGCAACACTTTATTAAAAATTCTCTGCCTATTAGCTCTAGCCACGACTCTGCCAAGTCTCTCGAGAGCATTGAAAGGAACTCACAAATTACATTATTAGTACCCTCGAACACGCGTCACTGTTCGCATCGACGTGGACAAGCATGGACAATTTGTACGTGATCGATGAATGCCCACTTTTGCACATTTTGCCACAAACATTTTGCACTTTTTTCGCGAAAGAAATTTTTCTATTTCCACATGTTCGAATGTCGGATTAAAGATTTAAAGATTTATTATTAAAGTTTAAATGATTAATTTAATCATTTTAAAGAAAAACGAAAGATGAACTCAATTGTTTCATATCATTATTATAAAATCGAAGAAATATTGCATTATTTATTTTTGCATAATTTTATATATAATTTACATAATTTAAATAAATATCAATACTTCGTGCAACTTAATATCCCTCGTTTATGTTTCATTTTCAGATACTTTCGAAGAGATTTTTATTTTTGTATATATTTTGTAAATTTTATATATGTTTATTTTGATAGAAATTTTTTTTCAGATCTTTGAGAATCAGTAAAAAAAAAAAAAAAAAAAATAGAATGTAAGTGACTACTTTAGGTTATTTATGCTTATTAAAAATTAATTAATTATATATATAATGTAAAATTAATTAGTTTCAATATCATTTCGTAAAATTATCGTTGCAATTATTTTAAAAAATAATATTTAAAATAATATTTAAAAAGGAATTGATAAATTTCTTTTAATTTATTTGTTACTGAAAGTTACTTGAATATAAATGAAATGTTAGAATGTTGATACAAAGTAGATATTATTTTTTGAATGATTAGAATAACAATGTATTATTATTAAATATTAATAAATTCTAATAAATATTAATAAGTTTTTAATAAATTAAGAATATTTGAAGTAAAATAATAAGCTTCTATAAAATTTTTACTTGTTTTAAATAAATATATTTTATGCTTATGAAATTTACATATTATAGCTTATAAAATTTTATTAGCAAGTTATTAAACATTTTTACATTTCATTACATTTCAGTAATCTTTCAAGATATTAATTCAAAATACTATTGATAATTTCTGTAATAATCTTAAAATTATTTCAAAGCGAAACCAAATATAAATTAATCTAATTCCTAAATTAATAATAAGAATTATGTATATTATTTATAAAATTATTAAAAATAGTATTTTTTTTTAGTATTTTACTAAATATTCGAACAAGCTAATATTATTTAACTTTTTTATCTATCATTTTTATTAAGAAATTATTTTATATCAAATTTATACAATTGGACAATTATTCGACTAAAAATTACTATAAATTCCATTAATTCTTTAATCTTGACAAATTAATTTTTATTGTTTTAGAATGTGGACACCACACAACAACCCGGTAGCTCGCGTGTACAGAAAATATCAAAGAGGAAGTAGTAATATCACCAGCCAATAAACAGACTATGCCTATTCATATAGTCTCGAATACACACACATATACACACATACATACACACGCATATACACACACACTCGTACACACACTCGCAGTACTCTTCATTCATCTAACTACACCAACAACAATTACCCCAACAGCAAAATGAACAACTTACGTTCGTCCACCATTCAATACCAGGAAGAAGAGGCATCAAGCAATTCGTCGTCTACGAATTCTCGGCCAGCCACGAGGACGTCCTACTTTCCAATTAAAAAAAGAAAAAAACTCTCGAATTTCCTTCACGAAATTCAATTTCTCACATTTACGTACGCGCTATTTTTTTAAAAATTTATATCCGATTTTTAGATTTATAAGAAATTTTCAACAAATTTTATCAAATCGATTTACGAAATCGAGGATATACCACGATTAGATGGGTATTTTTTTATCGTGCATGATCAACTTCGATAACGGGTTGAAACGATCGAAATTGCGATTTCTTAGACCCCGAAGTGACGAAGAAGTGACGATTGCAGATGGGTCCGTTCTGCGCGCTGTCGAGCGCACTACTGCTGGGACCGATCGCCAGTGGCAACGTACCGGCTCCAACATAAGCGTATTCTAAACGTCAATCGGATCTAAGACCGTGACCGCGATGCACCGCGTCGATTTTTACTCGTCCATTGATCGTTCGTGTGCGTGATAACAGATTGATGCAAATATTTTCTGTTTTTTTTTTTTTTTTTGGTGGAAATTTAGAAAGTTCAATCGAATTTTGTAGAGTTCGAGACAATTTGATAGGATTTTATAAATTTTTGGTGAAATTTGGCGGAAGTTGAGGGAATTCGATGAAATTCAATAGAATTTGAAATTTCATTACAATTTTTCGGTGAAAAATGAAATTTAGAAGGAATAAATTTAGTGAAATTTTATGAAATTTGATAAAATTGATAATTCGATAGAATTTTGTAAAATTTTATATATTAATCTATTTTTTTTTTTTATTTATTTATTTGACTATTCGAATTTTAATTGACTGCTTCTTCTAAATAGATATTCTAAGAGGATTTACATAAAAGAGTTTTTTTTGATTTACTTGTTCCTCGATTCGAATAAAATAAAAAGGTTTCCTGATTCCTGATTTCTGATTCCTGATTCGAGAATCAACTGTTTCTTGACAAGATATATATAAAAAAAAAAAAAGAAACACAGAAACTCGTTTGGCTGAAGCAGTTTCAGAAAGTGGTGGGGATGATTCTGCATTTGCTATCTGCTTATATATATTCCGATATATTATATATATTATTCTATTTATATATTATTTATATTCGTTTCTTATTAGAAAAATATTATCTAAAAAGGTAATTGACACATTACTATACAATTATATATATATAATAAATTATTTAATTTGTAATATTATTATTTTAAGAATAATAAAAAAAATGTATTTTTAAAAATTATTATATACACATATTAGAAATTTTATCATTTTATTAAAGATTAAAGATTAACATGAAATATAATGTCATAATTATTAGAATTATATTAAAATTATATATTATTTTATATATAAATAATAATAATAATAATAATAATAATAATAATAATAATAATAATAAATAAGAATAGAAGAAAATCGTTATTATTATTGAAATAAAATTCCAATTCAATAAGTCACAAAGTGAAATGTCAAGCTATCAATTTAGTAATTTATATTTGAATAATCCACATCATTTTTATTCTCTCCTTGTAAACTTAAATGATATGTAAAATTAAAATTAATCATCCATCACATTTTTTTATATTTTATTTCAGTTACTCGAAGCAGAAGTAGCAGATTTCTGTAACTTTTCATCACGATAGATGCCACAAATCCTTGACATACATCATTATGCCGTTATTAAGGCACAGGATGCACATAGTGGATTCGAAATATATAGATTCGCCATTAATAATGATCCATTATAGGAGATAAATATATAATATAGCTTCATGACTTTTTTTTTCTTCCTTTAACTGATTTTAATTAAAATCATATAATTTTTTTTTCATTTTTATTGTTAAGTTTGTCATTTTTAACATTCCCTGATTTTACAATATATTTATTTTCTTTATTATTTTGCTTTTGTTATTTTGTTATGATAACTATAATTATTATCAATAAAAATTCAATAAAATAAAATAATTTATTTTAATAAATTATCGATTTCTTTTACATATAAATTTTAATTGAAATAGATTTTTAGGTGAATGGTGAATTTAGCGAATTAAATTCATGCTCCTAAAATTGGTCTTTATAAAATTTTCTTCTAATCATTTTTATTTTTAGAAGTAACATTTTTTCACATTATTTATATTTATAAAGAATTTTATTAATTCCAATTTTTCAACTGAAAAAAGGATTACAGTCACAAAAAATTGTTAATATTTTGACATATTATTTTCATATACAAAATTCTATAATATTAAGACTAAATAACAATAAGAAAAAGTTAGATCTAATAGAATTCTATAATTCCATAATTACAAAAAATTTTAATTCTAGATATTGTAATTTTTAAAATTTTAATCGATTATGGAATTAGATAACAAAGATTGGCAAGAAGTAATGGAACTACAAATGACTAAGCAAATAGAACTTTCCAATGGATTTAATATTTATTTATTACAATTTCTATTTAGATCAAAGATAAATATGAAATAAAAATTGTTAAAACAATTATTTCTTACTTTCTATTCTTTGTTTAATCTCATGAACAATATTGAAGAATCATTATTTTATATTTAACTTTTCTTTTAAATAACAGATAGTATTATTTATTCTTTTTAACAAGATAAATACGTGGTGTTTAAGAGCAGTGGCCCCCTTGTTTTTTTCATCTTATCAAGTGATTTAAATTTATATAAATGAAAAATAAAAAGTAAATCTTAGCATTCTCTTGAATCTTCTAGAACGGACAAATAATGCATACGTGGCATCGTTCAGTTGCAAAAGTAGGACATTGTGAAATTTGCTTCTAGGGACACTCTAGACGTCCTTTTCTATATAATTTTTGATTGTACTTGTTGAGAAAAAATTATTTAAAAAATATAATAAATTTATAATCAACAAAATTATTTTATTATTGAAAATTTATTAAAAATTTAATACAATTCAATGAGATATTATAATTTAAAAAAAAATATATTTTGTTATAATATTATGAAATAATGTAGAATAATATTAAAAATAAAATTTAATAATGCTAATTGATTGAAAAAAAAAATAATTGTTGCATAAATATAAATGATTCAATTTTATTAGATTTATATAATAATTCTATTGCTATAGATTTGAGAATTAAATTTCTTTTTATTTAATTATATCTTTCGTACGGTATAAAACAATTATTAAGAATTTACAATTTATAATGAAAACTATTAATAAAAAATTTATTTATTAACATACTTGTTTATAATTTTTCAAATTAATTATAAAAAAATTATAAACTCGAAGGAATAACGAAACCAAGAATAAAACGTGTATGATGACATTTTATGGTTTAAATAAATCAAAAAATTTCTTATTTTATCTAAAATTTAGATATTATATTAAGATTAAACATCTAATGGGAGATAAATAGGTAAATTATTTAGAGAATTATTAGAGAATTATATACATCAGACTAATTAATAAAGAATTTTTTTTATTATAAAAAAGTACAAAAAAATTTCACATATTTATTTGATATGTTTTAATTGGTCACAAATATTAATATTATTTAATATTATGATTTAATTTGATTTCATTCTTGAATAAAATTTATGCTCTCATAACTGAAGGATATTTATGAAAAGTATATTTCTTTAATATGGATATGTAAAATATTTAGAACAATAAAAGTAATAACAATAAATAATAATAAAAGAATAAGTTAATTTAGATATTAAATAATAGTTATTTTCAATGTATTTAGCTATTCTCAAGAATTTTAAAGAAGTACTCCACCTATATAAAAATAATAAATGTATATGAAGTATATGAAATATAAAAATATAAATTTCAATTTATTTTACCTCTAAGATTCCATCCTCTGGTAAATCAGAACAATGTACAGCATTTTGTACTTTAGTTTTGCCATATTTTGCTCGAAGAGTATCTGGTCTCACTTGTCGTGCAATATCCTATATAAAAAATACATTACACAAAAAGAAAAAAAATTTAATTTTTTATACTTACTGGATCCATAGGTCCACATAGTTTTCTAAATTCTGCTTGAATATCAAATTTTTCATCTTTATGCTTTATTTCCATAACAATACATGGTCCTGATTGTAATTCCTCCACCATAGCCTAAAGATATTTTTATTATGTTTTATTATTTAAAAATATATATTTTTTATATCATATTATCGTTTTTTAATATAAACATACAGCATAATCAGGAAGAACTCCTTTATAAACTTCTAAAAATTCTTCTGCATCAAATGGATTAACAAAAAATTGTTGTATTGCAGAAATAGTATAACCAGCTTTTTGTATATCATCCACAATATTTCCTATATTGTATTACGAACAAAGTAACAAACACAATATTATTTATTAAAAAAATTATTTTTAACAAATTTAAAATGAATGAAATCTTATACCAATTAATTTTGCCTGAATAGCATGCGGTTTAATAATACAGCAAATACAGTTTTCTAATGTTGCTGTATTTGTTGGTCCCTTTCTTCCACTTTTTGGACTAGGAAAAAAGTATTCTAATTCCTAAAAAGAAGAAATAAATTATAACATTTGTATTAACTTAATATAAATATACATAAAAATAATACAAACTTTTTCTGCTGCTTTTTCATTTTCTGAACCATGTACTGCATTATGAATATCATCTTTACCATATAGTGCTCTAATGGAAGATGGGGCTTTTGCAATAACTTCTTTGCTGTCTTCTGGTCCCATCACTTCTTGCCATCGTGTAATTGCATTATCACCTATTAACTCTAAAGTTACAATAGGACCAGAAGCGATATAATTTACCATATACCTAATTAAAAATATAAAAAAATATTTGTTATTTTTTTCAAATTCAAAGATAATTAATAATGTAACAATCTTACGCTATATTGGTTTCTTCTTTTTTATCTTGATAGAGTTCCATTGCCTGTTCATATGATAATTTAATCATTTTAATATTTACAATGTGTAACTGAGAAGAAATAATTATTTTTAATATCTCTCCTAATTTATCAACAACACAAGGCTTCACTATTGCAAATGTTCTAAATAAAAAAAATGTTATAAAATTTTAATTATAATAATATATCAATTATTAATAAAAAAAAAATAATGATATACCTTTGCATTTTTGTTTGTAATTTTGTTTGTGTAGCACAATCTGCGTAATTTGTTATTTTTATATTTCGTGAAAATATTGTTACAATAGCACCTACATAAAAATCTCTTGCTTGAATACCTTCGCATTTTGATCTTTTTAAAAATGTTTTTTTAGTTTTTAAATCAAACTAAAAACAATGAAATATAAATAAAAATCTTCGTTTTATGAATATTTAAAATAAAATACTAAGTAAATATACCAATTCAACTGTATTATCGAATGGATAATAGTAGAGATAAAACTTTTTCAAAACACTAGCTACTTTGTCATACCATTCAGCTTCAAATGTATATTTTTCATTCATATCTGTCATTATTTCTCAGATAAATTTATTTACACTAGTAATAAAATCACACTTATAAATTAAACTTTATAATTATACAAGGTTATGCTTTAAATAGACCATCAATATTACATAAAAATTATATACTGTATCTGTAATAAATTCATACATATATCTCGTTACTACGGATACTGTTGTTATTTAACTTTTAACATGTTTCTATGACAAAGTAATAATACATAAAAAGTTATTACATTTGTAATAGGTACAAAATATAAACAAAGAAAATAAATAATAAAAAAAAAAAAATAGATAAATATTCGGAAATCAGCGCCATCTACATCTAGTGCCTCAAATAAAAATAAGGAGAGCAGGTAGTAAAAAAAAGGATAAAGATAAACTAAAAATTGATTAATAGCGCTATCTTTTGAGTATGAATTACATTTTTTTTAAAAAGAAGATTATGAAAAATAAGAATTGAAAATTAGCCATGTTTTGAATATTTTTAAGATATTTTTAGAATTAAAAAGATAAACGTTTCTTATCCTGTTTTAGAATAAATGTCTCCGATATTCAAAAGATGGTACCAAATATCAATTTTTATATTATTATTTTTTTTTCTTCTATTTGCCCTCCTTATCTATATTACAGTTTTTTTGCAGCATTATAGAGATGGCGCTGATTCCCTAATTCTTAGTCTTTCTAAAATAATACTTCAATAATTGATAAATAATAATTAATAAATAAATGAATATGAAATAAATAAAACAAATAAATAAATAAATGTAAAAATAATTGGGTATATATAGTAAGAAAATAACATTTAAATAAATAAATACATAAGAATAAATATATAATAAATAGTAAATGATTATAAAAATATGTAAATAGATAAAAGAATAAAAAATAAATATGTAAAGGAAAAAATACAGAAAAAATACAGAAAAATATTGAAATAAATAAGCAATTTCATATGTGAAGAAACGGAGATAAAAATAAATAAATTAATTAATAATTAATTAAATATAATAAAATATATAAATAATATAATAAAATAGCAAATAGATAAAATAAAATAAAAAAAATACTATCGGAANAATTAATATTTATATTATATTTTCTTTTTATATTTTATTCATTATTTATGTATTACAATATTAAATTATTCTCTTATATATTGCAACATATGAAAGAATTTAATTTTATAATATATAAATAACGAATAAATACACAAAATACATAAAAAGAGAATATGATATAGAAATTAATTATTCTAAAACAAAAAGAATTGTAACATAGAAGAACAAATTAATTAATCTTAAAGTTAACAAAGTCTAAAATAACTAAAACATAATAATTAAGTAAATCTAACAAAGCTGCAACATATAAAAAAAGAGTTTAACATTTAAATTTTGTTATAATCAATTGTTTTAATTTTTAACATAATTTCAAATCGAAAGTTGATGTTATAAAATATAAAATTTTATTTTATTTCATAAAAATATATTTTAATTATTATATGTAATATCCTAATATGTTGTTAAATCCATAAATTAATAATAAAAATATAAAAATTATTATTAAATTTATAAATTAACAATAAATTAATGGTAAAAATCTAAAAATTGATAAATAATTGATTAATATATTCGAAAACTCTATTTTGATAAAATCGGAAAAGGTCGTATATTTTCGTTCGACTTCGGTTCGCGCACTTGTATAAATAGAGGACAGAACGACGCGAACGATCATTTCATATCGAACTAGCGTCGCGATAACATCGAGATAATAATACTTTGATTGAAATTTTATAACATAGAGAATTTTTTATTATTTATTCTTATATTTATTATACATACATTCTTCCTTTTTTGTTTTTACTTTTTATTTTATCTAATTGTATTTTTTAATTTTTAAATTATATTAACTTTAAATTTTTAATTTTTAAATTTTAATTTTTATTTTAAATTTTTTATATTTTTACATTGAATTTTTAATTTGATTAATTTGATTTAATTTTTAATTTTTAACTTTTATTTTATTTTTAGTTTATTTTTCAATTTCTATTTCTATTTCAAACTTTAAATATTTGATTTTTAATTTTTTTTTAATTCTATTTAATTTTATTCATTTTTAAATTTTAGTTTTTTAAATTTAGTTTTTAACTTTTACTTTGCTTTTCTTTTAATATTCTAATTTTATTTATACTTATTAATTTTTTATTTACTTTAACGTTTAATTTTTAATTTGTCTTTCAATTTTAATTTTTAAATTTTATTTTATTTTTAGTTAAAATTTTTAATTTGGTTTAACTTTCAATTTTTAATTTTACCTTTACTTCAAATTTTTATTTTTAGTTAAAATTTTTAATTTGGTTTAACTTTCAATTTTTAATTTTACTTTTACTTCAAATTTTTATTTTTAGTTAAAATTTTTAATTTGGTTTAACTTTCAATTTTTAATTTTACCTTTATTTCAAATTATTTTAATTTGATTTAGATTTTAATTTATAATTTTGTTTTAATTTTATATTTAATATTTAATTTTTTTTAACATTTCATTTATACTGTTACAATTTATATAATAATTATAATGTATGGGTCTCGACGTAGTCACCTCCTCGTTGGTGAGACCCGGTAATTGGCATCGGTTTTCATTATATTATTTATATTATTTGATCAAATTATTGCAAATATTACATTAAAAATTACATTGTATTAGAATTATATTAGGTTAGTTTTTGATTAGTTTTTGAAAACTGATGCCAAGCTAAGAACTACACTAGTTTTAAGTTTTTAGTTTTAATTTAGTTTTAAGTTTTTAGTTTTAATTTAGTTTTAAGTTTAATTTATTATTATATACTGTAACTTGTAAAATTTTGATTATTTTGCAAGAAATTTCGAATATTTATAATTGGCGACATAATTCATTATAATTAACTATAATTTAAATTTTGATAACGAACAATTATAACGTAATTTTTCCAAATTAATAATTCATAAGCATTTGAATGTTAAAAAGTATCTTATAACTCATAGCAGTATTTTCTTTAACAAATGTTTGAAAGAAGAAAGAAAAAAAAGGAAAAATATCAAAGAATATTTTACTTTTTTTTCTACCTCATCCCTCCCTATTAATACAATTTTATTTTCAGCAAATTTTTGTAATCGCGCGCGGTTATTAGAGTCAGTGTTTGCTTTCGTAAAAGTTTTTTTAAATTCTTTAATGAATAACGCGAAATTAGAATCAGTGTTTATTCACCGAATTTAATTTAATCGGTCGTGTTAAAAAACTATGTGTTTAAATAATTCGTTTAGAGTCAGTGTTTCTCTCAAGAAAATAAGGCGATCATCCATCACGCGAAGAGGTAATTATCTTTCATTTTATTTAAATTTTTATTTTTCTATGTCAATATAAAATCATTATATTTTTAATTTTTAAATTTAGAATTTTTATATCAGAGTCTTAATTTTTATATTTATTAAAGTACATTAGAATTTCAAATTTTATTTTACTATTAATATTAGTTTAGTAGAGTTTTATCTTTTTTTTATTTGAATTTTCCCAAACAATTTGGATTATGTTTTAAATTATGTTGTTCCGCTTTTTGTTACAGATATTTTGCAACATTCTCCTGCACTTGCCAATATTCTTCGCATCTAAGGGTGAGTCGCATGCATTTATGTTCCTCCGGTCACTCAATCATGTCGTAGGACGAAAGGTCCGAATCGACACGAGTGACTGGTTGTATACGTAGATTTTTGCAACGAGCATAGTGACCACGGGTATATTTATTATACCCGTGAGTAGTAACATTTTCTGTTATTTATTAGCTCAGGCTAGATCTTCTTGCACATCGCGTTTTTTAAATACTAGTAAAATAAAAATTTTTTTTTATATTTTGCTTTATACAATAATAATATTTTTTAATTATTCGATTTTTAACAATCATATGATACGAAATATAAAATTTTTAATTTTATTTCCTTCGTATACGAAAATGTGCAAGAAGGTATATCGCGACAGGTAGATTTTGGAATCAAAGCAATAATATTGTGTTTCTTATTTTCGAAACTATGTTTTGATAAAGGAATCGCCTGAGGTTATTTCTATTAATATTAACTTTAACTTTTAATTCAATTATTTTATTTTGCATTTAATATTTATTGCTATAAATAAATTTTTTATTTATTTTTAATTTTTTTTTTGTCTATTAGATGTCATAATTTTAATATTTAATAAAATTAGAATCATTAAATAAAATTTGAAGTAAAAGTTGATTATAAAATAAAGAATACTTAGTCCGTTAGAGAAAAAATAGATACTTATAATATTTTTTTAGTTCAGGATTTTCAGGTTTAACCCCTTCCGTGTCCATTGCCACGATTTCACTCACGTGCCCAGGTGTTACTTGGGTGAGAGAGAGGCAATGGGCATGATGACTATAGTTTATAAGTTTTTATCGGCGACTGACGATAAGTTAGTGATCGTGCACGATGTATTTTCCACATTATGTGTGTGTGCGGTTAGGATGTGGAATTGCGTCGTTACGATTCTTATTTTTATTTATTATATTATCAATTATACAATTTACAATTTCATTAATATTACTATAAGATTATAAATTGTAAATTGATACCAAATTTTAGTAATGCGATTTTTATTTGATAATTATCGAGATAGACACGATTTTTTTGTCGCGATTCACGCAATGATCATTAGTTATCGTCAGTCGATTTCAGGAAAAGGTACGTAAATTTAGAGTATGAAAGTAGTATCAAGCTCGGGTGTCGGAGGCGTCCCGGGACGTTCTCTCTAGTGTAGGCTTTTTGCACCCGGGTGTAATGTGTGAGAACCGTGGAGTGGGTGTGTTGGTGTGATTGTTTTGCCATTTTTTAAATATAGCGCTAGGTAGGATAGGTAGCATACTTTCTGGTGTGTATGTTAATTATAAGTAGGTAGGGCCGGGCAGGTTGTCACAGTCTCTGGTCGGGTAGGCGCGTTTTCGCGTGACAACCTGTTTCAGGAAATACAATTTGAAAAATCGAGAGTGGAGCTGAGACGAGTGGTCATCGATGACCATTCGTTTCTGGTTTTACTTATATCGAGTTTTCGAATTTCGCGGTCGCGGTCGCGA